CTGCCCTGAGGTTGAGGAGAGAGGACTTTCCTCCAGCTTTACTGGCGTAACTCCTCAAGCCACAGGCAGCCCAGGTGGCTTTGTGACAGGAGTGGTTCTGGTCGACGCTGGCATTTCAGAATCCCAGGAACTGGGAAAAGAACAGGCTGCAACCAGAAGGCTTGCCCTGCACCTTGGTCACTCTGCTGGCTCCCAGGTCTGTGTCTGCCTGGCCAGAGGACACCAGCCCTTGGAGCCCAATGCCCAGCAGACTGGACAATGCCTGTAGCTCCTGGTGTCAAATGGCCCTGATGGCGGGAGGCAGCAGCCTGCGGCTCCCTGGAGACCCTCCCTCCCTCTGGAGGCAGACAAGACAGAGTGGCCGTGGGCCCTTCTGCACTGGGGTGTCCTCACAGACCCACCCCTTCCAGCATGACATCAGAGCCCATCCTGGGAGAGGAGAGGAGAGAGTGGTGTCTTAACTGAATCCAAATGTTGAAGACATCAGTCAACTCAAAACTGTCCATTCTCCTGCCTGGAGCCTCCATGTCCCCCTGGTGGGCACTGTTGGTTCCCCATTGTGGGCCCAGCTCCTGCCCTGCAGCTCCACTGGGGCCCCCTTCTCTTCAGGCTTGTATGTATTTTGGATGCTATTCAAAGAGCTTGGCATGAATCTCCTTTAATTCATATATAAACTTACCATTTCACAGAGGCACAAATGAGGATGGCACCTCAACAAGGCTGTGTCCTCACAGTCACATGCTAGGGATGATGGAACCACATACAGCACCAACATCTGTGAGCTCATGCCTCCTCCACGCCCGCCCCACCTGGGCCGCCCATCAGAGCTCCTCCTGGAAATACTGCGTACCTGCTTGGAATAGTAGCTGTTCAGGTTCCCCTGGATTCCCGGGTGTGCGGCTGTCTGATAGACTGTGAGGCTCTCCATGGGGATCCCTGGGCACAACCCAAACCAGATGTCACTGCCCTGGGACACAGTGGGGCGTCTGCCACCTCAGAGTACACACAGGTGGTGGAGCCCTCCCAGAGCAGCACAATCCCCCGAGCCAGCCTCCCTGATGCAGAGACTGGACTCAGAGCAACGGCCTGGACCAGGCCCCCTGCTGAACACGGCACAGAGGAGGTTGAGATGGCTGAGGATGACAAAGGCCCGGGAACCACAGCTCCCTTCGCACCCACAAAGCCTTTGGTCTGTGTTTTGTGGGTTTGTCCACAGGCCACCCTGTGAATCCCACACATACAGGATTCATGATGCCAGGAAGCAAGATCTAAGGGCAGCCCTTGACAGACTGGGAGTCCGGGCCCCAGTGCACACCAGCTCTGCCCCTACATGGCCGCGGATCCCCTCTGGGCCTTGGGGTGCCCACTGTAGATGACCTGATTAGGCGCTGGACCTTCCCACATTCCTTCCCGGGCCATTTAGTGAGGATACACTTTCCCCGGATTCCCAGGCTGATAAGGGAGGCACTGATGGGCTGAGCAGACACAGCATACTGATGAGGCTGCCACACAGGAGCCAGAACATGCCGAGAAGCAGTGCCACTGCGGGCTTATGAAAATGAAATGGACAGGAGAGCAGCCCGCTCAGAAGTTATCAAGATTTCAGCATAAAATAGCAATTTATCATTTAAGGTTTGGAGGTTTGAAATAGCTGAAATATCAAACCTTTGATTTGTATATGATTTCTATAAGGATACCTGGGACCAAGCTTTCTCTTATTTTTCCTGGTATTTTCTGGTTCCAGAAAGGCTAATGATTGTGCTGATCTTATTAACTAATGTCCTCTGCCTTTATTCCTGGCAGCATTTAGAAGATAGACAAGAATTTGAGTAGAAGAGGCACATTTTGATATGAGAGGGGAAAGGGACAGTTACAAGGCCTGAGACCATCCTGGGTCACACCGTGTGTGGATTGTGGGGTTAAAATGAGACAGAATGTGCGATGGTCACAGTCCATGGTGGGTGGGCTTTCAGAGAGCAAGGTCATGCTATGCAATCTCAGAGTAGCCCAGGAGGTTGGTACGATGGTTACGCCCACTTCCAGATAAGGAGACTGATGCCCAGAGTGATGGCATCACTTACCCCGTTCACACAGCTGACAGCCAGCAGGAGGAGAATTCAAACCTGCTCTAATCTCACCCTGAGTTGATACTCCAAACCACTGATATGCCTTGCTCCCCACCAACTACGTGACAGGAAAGGAGTGCAGGTGACACTCATGTCACCATCTGGGTCAATGATAGGGACCATCATTGAGAGCCACAGTGGATATGACTCACTAGTGTGAGATCAGCTGTCTGTGGACTTTCTTGTACATGTGGAACCAATCCTGATTCCACATGTAGAAGAACACCCTGTGCTTGTCACCTCAGTCACCTCCCCTGGGGCCACCCTGACACCTCCCATCCCCTCACCCTCTTGCTGAAGGCCGCCAAGTGGGCTGGGAAGAGCCAATGCAAAGCGAGGCATGTGCAGCCGCGCTTGATGTGGGGAGCGACCCTGCGGGCCATGGCCCAGCACATCCAGGCCAGGCCTGCTGTCCCTTGTGTGCACTCTGCAGGGCTGTCCATGTCTACTTCCTTCACCACAGAACCTCTGGGCGGATCCCACAGAGGCCAGCAATGCGGTCAGCAAATTCTAGTCACCTTCAGCCTGGAGCATTTTTGGCAGGATTTCTCTCTTGAGGTTTCCACAGGGAAACAGAAGAGGTAATGCTGATGACTCCCCTGTGAATGAACAACAGGCTCTGTAAATGTTTGTGACAACTCAGGGCTGTGCCTGTGTGCAGGGGGGTATCGGGGAGCTCCGGGAGGGGAAGCAGCGCAGCGTCCCAGGCTGCCCCTGCCCCTCAGCTCAGCTCGTCCTCTGTCCTCTGTAAATGGGCAGGGCAGCTGCTCCCTCACGGAACTTGTAGGGCTGTCAACGAAGACTATAAACTGTGCTCTGGTCACGCAGCTCAGAGAATGCACATTGTCCTGACAAAGGGCTGCTGCTGGCCTTGTCCTTCCAGCTCTCTGAGCTTGTGGGGCCCTGGCCTGCTATCACAACTAAGAGCGCAGGCTCTGCACCTTCAAGTCAGAAAGATCTAGTGCTGGCATCGGGGACAAATGTTCCTACCTCTGGAGGTGGCCCTGGGTGAGCAGGAGGCAGTGGGGAGCTGGAGGCCAACAGTAGTTCCCTACCCCCTCCTCTCCCAGCCCTGCCCACAGCCACTAGACCAAGGGCTCCAAGAGCTGATGTTAGGTCCCACGGAGACACACCAGCTAAGAAGGACCCGCCTCTCACTCCCACCCCCTGCTCTCCACTGAGGAAGGCTTCTGGCATTTTCACCCCTAGGCTCTTCACAGTATAAGACAACAGCATGAGAGTTAAATTTGTGACACCACCCAAAACTGAAGGCTTGTCAGATGCCAGAGTTTTCTCCCAAATGAAAACAAAGCATTTTAGTAGAAATAGTTTCCCCCACATCTGCCCATTACATGTAAGAAATTTTAATGGGTGTTGGTCATGCAGCAACATTACATGTCTACTGCGATCACAGGAAAGAACAGAACGGACTCTCCCATCCAGCACCATGCGCACCAGGTGAGCCGCAGCCCCACTGCAGGCCCTTCATTTCCAGCATGGAGACACACACACTGGCTAGCCACTTCTTAATCACACTGCTTTGTAGATGCCAGTGCCCAGACAAGAACACAATGACCCTGGAAACTGTGAAACATAAGCAATGCAGCCTGCACACATGTACTGTAGATGCCATCCCTAGAGATGTTCCCAAAGCCATGTCACGTTGTATCTTCCTCACCTGAGCCCAGGCATCCCTCCTGAGTGTGTGTGCATGTATGTGTGTGCATTGGTGTGGGGATGCAGGATGCTGTGTACAGGTATGTGTGTGCATGTACATGTATGTGTTGGTGTGGAGATGCAGGTTGCCATGTGTGTACATGTGTGCATATACATGCATGTGTGTGCATATCAGGATGTTAGGTGTGTGCATATAAGTGCATGTGTGTGTGCACATCCAGGATTCTAGGGTGTGTGTGTATGCATGTAGATGTGTGCAGGTTTGTGTGGAGGCATTGGGCACATGCAGGATGCTGGGTGTGTGTGTTGTGTATGCATGACATGCTCCATCTGCCTCGGACTCTCTTTCTCTCTTTTGTGTATGTGCACACACAGGTGTCTGGCTGGGGCAAACGTGGGGAGCCAGCAGGGAAACCGGATGTCCACCCTGCAGACAAGGAAGGGGCCAACAGAAGACCCATGCTCTGCCCTCGAAGTTTCCCTTCTGAGGGCCCAGCAGAGTCGACGCTCATTCTTACCACTGACTCCTAGAGGATGGAAAGCTTAGGCCCTGTGTGAGGGCAAAGAGCTCACAAGGCTGGGCTGAAGTGTCTCTTGAGGGCAGGCACTGGTCTCTTTGTCACTGTACCTGTGCCTAGCAGGGAGCCTGGCTGGACAGGCTCAGGGCCCACAAATGCCCAGTCAGCTCAGCAGACATCCCAAGAGATGCAGTGCCCCATCACCACAAAGGAGGAAAACTTGAAAATGTCCCGACTGAGTCCTCCCGTGCTGCTGAGGGGACATGACTGCAGCTGTATTTTCTGAGTGCTAATGCTCTTCAAGAAAGCAAAGACAGAGCCCATTCCTTCTGGGGATAAGCGTAACACTTACTGATTTATTGTCAACCCAAATAGGTCAACACAGTGGTTAAAGCTAACTGATTTTCAACCCAATTACGTAAATGCAACAGCTAAAGCTGACACAGAAATGGTGGATTGTGGAGATCAAAGGCTCTGCTCTCCATTCCTTTACCAGGAAGAGGAATTCCCTAGGAGAGTATAAGGGGGAAAGGGGGCTCAAGAAATAGTCACTGTGGGTAATTAAGATAAAACCTCATCTTCCTAAAGCATGTGGTGCAAGTCCTAACAATTACCGCGCTTTCCCCCTCTCAGGCCTCTGGCTGTGAGAAGCCGTCTGAGCAGTCAGTGGGTGTTTAACTGCAGGTGCTCAGGATGAGGCTGGTTCAGGGACAGGAGAGTCCAGCAAGGCTGCCAGGCTGCTACAGGAACCCCAGCGTCCAGGAGGACGTTTCAGACAGACTGAAGCATGCTCCGTCTGCTGCGGACTCTCTTTTTCTCTTTTTAAGAGTTACAGTGACTGCTGCCTGTTATCACTTAACTTGTAATGGCTTTTCCAAGGAAAATCTATCACAACAATGAGTATCAGATTAAACGGGTTAACAGCTTTAAGCACTTATAATGCCCGTCAGAAAGTAAATATTAAATAAGTGTTAACTAAAATAAATAAGCAATAACTATGCATTGGCTTGTTTACTACAAGAACTGGAAGTAGATTTTAAAATTGGGTTTCAACATTTACTAGGGAAGGAAAATCATAAATGCCTTGGTAAAACCAAGGTGAAAGTCCTTATTAGCAGTCAACATGGATTTTTATTAAGATATTCCAATGGCAAATGGAAGATTTTTTTTAGGATCCAAGATCTGCCAGTAATACGTTAGAGGAAATAACAAAGGCTTTGGAAAGAACAGAGTGGAGTTCTCCCAGATAAGGGCAGAATGTATTGATATCTACCCAGCCAGGCCTTGAGTCAGTTAATTAAAGCACCAAGGTAATAGCTCAGAGGTGACACTGATCCCTTCTGCCTTGAGCTTGCAAAGCTAGGACACCAGCCTGATGGCTCTGGGCCTTCTCATGAGCAATGACTCCGCTGGTCCCCTTCTGTCTCCTTGCAGAACAAACTGGTGTCAGCTGCAGGAACAGCACAATTTCTGTCCAGGGAACAGGTGGGAGCCACCTATTCTGTTAAGGAGCTAATTGTTGGCCAACCCATAGAACCCAAAACCATTCTTTGTAAATTCTGGCACTTTATCCTATTAGGGATGTCATGATCTACAATTTGCATACTTATTTCTACATTTATAAAGGAAAGGCTTTGATACCATTTATACTGTAACTATGACTCCCTAGAAACATCAGAAATAAAAAGCCTGGAATTGGGTCATTCTGGGCCATCAGTGTCCAGACCAATTGCCTCTGGAGTGACCCCTGCACAATGACCTGAAAAATAACACCAAGGCCGGGGCCATGCAACAAACAGCTCCTCCAGTGTTCACCACCCTGGACAGCTGGAGCAACTGTCCTTGGCTTCTCAGCAGCTGTGTTTCAGCACTTGGCTGCACAAGCGGGTTACTGCCCGGTCTAGGCTGATGCTAAAGAAAACAGCCCTCAGCAATGCACACCAATCAAGAACATTCCACAGGAAGCAGTAAGGCAGCCAACAGGCTTTTGCTGAAGGGGCTAATCAGCTGTTCAGTGGTCCTCAGATGGTTCTTCACCCGGCCTCCAAGGGCTCTCTCCTGAGGTGCCAGGCTGAGCACATCTGCCCTCACGCAGCACAGGTGGCCACAGAAGAAAGGTGACAACAGTCTTCACTAGCAGCAAATGGTGAATACTTTTTACCCCAAATTACAGTCTTCTGAACTGTATGTTTTAGCTTGAAAATGTCTCACAGTTCTGGCTTATACAGTATTCTAGAGAAAACTTGGCATGGTGACTTCTCAATTAGAGAGTGGGTTCTGGGATCGGGCAGGCTCCCTGCAGTGCAGAACAAGGCATCTGCAGGAAGCCTTGTGTGCCTCTGGAGGTGAGCGAGGTCAGGGGTCCCAGCAGCCCCTTTCCTCAGGCTCAGGCTGCCCTCAGGGGCCTCCTTAGGACCTTGTTTGTCACCAAGGACACAGCTAAACCCCAAACACCACCACAGTGATTCATCAGCTGGCCAAGACATCCAATCTGCAAATCAGTCTTAGGATCCTCTTCCTTCACTTGGATTCCTCTGACTTTCTCACCTCAAAGCACTGAATGTATTTTACACTAAGTAATTTCTAGAAGCACATAGAAAAGAGAACTAAGGGAGCAGCTGCCCCGCCCGCACCTTTTAGCTCTATTCCCTTGGACGAGTCACCCTTTCTCTCAGTTTCTTCACTAGTAAACATGGGGCCAATAATCACCCCCAAGTCACAGCTCAGTACAATGTGTCAGACAATTAGAGACCATATGCAGGAAATGCCACCCTATCTGGGCACATGACAGGCCCTCCACCTCCTCACACTACCCTGCCTTGAGTGTTCCCATTGACGTTTCTACAATTCCCGCAGGGCCTCCAGGCCAGCTCAGCTGTCCCCTATGTGTGGGAGTCTGGTTTTAAAAAATGCTCTTTTTACTTAAGGGAAAAGTTTCTGAGACACACTTGCAAAATCCCAGGAACAGCAGAACCAAGTCCTAATCTAGTGACTCCCTTTTGGGCCCAGTTCTGGCCTGGCTAGTGCCAGAGAGGGAGTGGCAGCCTGTTCCTCCCTGAGCCCTGGGGACAACCCTCCAGCCTGGGTCTGGACGGGGGCTTAGGTCATGCCGCTGTGCCTCAGGGCTCCTGGGGACTGGCAGCCCCCTGCACGCCCCTCCCGTCTCCACATCCACCTCTCCTTCCACTTTCTCTGCTCTACTGGGAGGGCTCAGCCATGGCTACTGCCTGAGGCCCTGTCCTTCCTGGAGGCCCCTCTGTGGTGGGAATGCCATGGTGTGCCCTTTTAAGGTGTCCTCTACCTTCTTTGGGACACCCGCCCCACGACACTGCATACGTACTGTAGGGAATAAACATTTGGTTTTTATCTCTGTTCCCAGCCAAGCTTCTAAAACCCTTGGCATTTCCTGACAGGGGAGAGAGGCGCATGTCCTGTTATTCATAATAAACTCCCTTAACTGTAAAATAATGAGGTAACTGCTGGCGGCCCCTAAATAGCTTGGGGGGGGGGTAGGGGAACCAACGATGTGATCAGAGGGTTGCTGCGTTCAGCCCCACCCCCCACCCCGACCTCTGGGGGAAGGGCTGGAGACTGGGTTAATCACTGGTGGGCAAGGATTTAGTCAACTGTGCCCACGTACAGGAGTCTCCACTGTGAATATGGAGAGCTTCCAGGTTTGTGAACGCATCCATGTGCCAGGAAGGCGGTGCACCCCAACCACAGGGACCGAGGCTCCTGTGCTCAGGACCCTCCGGACCTTACCCACGTACCTGCTCCTCTCTCTGTGCCTCTGTGTCCGTATATCCTTTATAATAAACCAGTAATGCAAGCAAAGTGTTTCTGAGTTCTGCGAGCCATTCTAGCAAATTATAAACCTGAGAAAGGGGGTGTGGGAACCCCCACTTTATAGCCAAATTAGATAGAGTGTGGGTGCCCTGGGCACACAGACCTTGCATCTGAAGTGGGGGGGTAGTTTTGTAAGACTGAGCCCTTAAACCGTGGGGTCAGTGCTAACTCTGGGTAACGTCACACTGGATTGAGTAGCAGGATCCCCAACTGGTGTCTGGAGCCCTGGTGTCAGGAGTGCTCTGTAGGTAAGATGGGTCCTTGTAGTTCCCCATCACACACAAGCAGTTCATACCTCTTCTTGTTACTTAATCTGCCCTGCCTTACAATGGCCACTGATGTCTAAGTCTGTCACCCCGGCCCTAGCTAGGCTGGGAGCTCCCAGCAGGCAGGAATGGAGTCAGGTCCCTCTCCAGCCCCCAGGCCCTGCAAGGGACTGGCACACAGGTGCTCTTAGGTAAACATCTGCTTACCCATGCTGAACTGACCTGCTCTCCTGTGACAGAGGATGGAATACAGGGGAGGGACAAGGGGGGCATCGAAGAATCTACCAAGCCCCCAAAGGCTTGTCAGAGCCACTGGGTGCAGATGTGCTGGGCTCAGGAGAGCACGGGCGGCTTCCGACTGGCTAATCACTCTGTGCCTACCGCTTACTCCTTACAGTGAGCAGAGTTAGGCTCCAGAGTCAGGCATGTGCCGCCCCGAGGAGCCCCATGAATGAGTCTGAGTGGACCGAGGGGCTTCACCAGCAGTTCCTGGAGGGCAAGTGCTCCGTCAGGTTTGCTGACCATGAGGGCCAGGAGAAAGGGGGTGGCCCCACAGTGGCGCTGCCCATAGCTCATGACCTCAGATAAGACCTGTCACTTGGTCCCTGGAGCCTCTCTCACAGCACTGTCAGAAAGAACTTTGGAATGTTCTCTGCTGTCTACCATCACATCATTAGCCAGGAATGACAACTGGGCCTTGATTGTGCCTAGTGTGACTAGGAACTGAATCTTCAATTTTATTTAATTTTAATTAACTTAATTTTAAATGGCTATCGTAAATAGCTATGTAGGGCTAGCAGCTACCGTCCTCGACAGCACAGCCTGCAGGGGAGAGGACTCTGACTTCACAGCGTGAAGCTGAACCCAGGAGGAAGGCCCAGTGCCTGAGGACCTGGGTCATGGGAAGCACTCAGGAAATGCTGGTTAACAACAGTAACACAGAGTGACCAAAGAAGATAAAAGATAAAATTATTTTGAAAAGAAAACAGGATGGATGAGGAGAGAGAATTTGGAAGCTTAGGAAGGAGGCACCAAGGCCAGCAGTGCCTGTGACTTCCGGGTGAGCTCTGGGGATTCTCAGGCCGCCATATGCAGGGAGATGGAGGACTCGGGCCCAGGCTCCCAGGGGTGCACAGAAAAATACAAACCAGAGAGCCTTCAGGCAACAGCAGTGGCTCACGGTGGGAAGACCTCATAAGACATTAGTATACCAGAAAAGCCAACACCTGAGAAGGAACATTTCTTAACACATATGTGTTGTTTTGCCTAAAAATGAGACCACCTGACACTGTTTCATAAGCCATAAAGGCTCCTTTCATGTGCTCTCTCCCTATCTACCCTGATCACTACCCAAAGGGCAAAGAATATACCCCTCCTGAGACTACCTCAGAGGAAACTCTCCGTGGTCAGCAGTCCATCCGGCTCCTGCTTCCCAGCTCAGCAGACACCCCAGCAACCCTGGGAAGGAGTCAGCACATTCCAGCCCTGGTCCAAGCTGAGCCCATTGTCTGCAGAGTCGGTGGCTGCTCTTCAGCTACCACTGCAGAGCCCAGTAGTTCAGAGCCTAAAATATCCAATCCTTAACAGAAGTTTGCCGGCCGGAAATCTGGCAAGGCCTCGATTTCCGCTTCAGTAATACAAGGCAAGATGGGTCTACTTCCTTCTCTCATGGATGCGGCTGCACCTGCAGCAGGGCTGGGCGCACAGGGAGAGGCAGGATGGGAGGTGCACCCAGACTCAGCAGGACTGCCCTACATGTGCCTGGTCAGCCTGCCTTTCCAAAAATCTCTATCCACGTGTATATTCTTCCGAAGCCTAAAATTCCCTAAAGACTTGGTCCCTACTTGACTGCAAACACCCCTAGAAACAGTGCCATTTTAAGTCCACGCACAGCCCAATGACCAGCTTGTTAGGTGAGTCGGCTCTCTACCAAGGAGGAAGTTTCCGGAGAAGGAATTCAGAGGGGGAAGCTGCCCCTAACAAGAAGGGGAAGATGACTCTCAGCAGAGGTGCCCAGCAGCCCTCCTGCCTCCCCCGTGCCGGGTCCTCTCAGGGCTCTCTCCTCTGGTTTTACCTCCAAATGTTTTATTTTGTGCTACGTTCAAGTCACCTCAGCTTCTTCGGTGTGCAGCTAGAAAGGATGTCATACAAGTACAGACATACACGTAGGTTACGTGCTGCTCCCAATCTTACCACTGCGGAGGAAATTCCTAGGGAGGAAACTTTTTTTTCCCGAGGTAGTGGTTGTGAGATCAATAAACAATAAATAAATGGACTTCATTTGAGGCGATCTTTTTCTACTTACTGGAACAAATATATTCCGCAAGCTTTTCTGCATTTCCACAGTTTTCTCCTTTTGTATCCAGGCCAATTTTGCTCACTGGAAAACAACAAAGAAAAGTATTTCTTTACACGGATACTGAAGTGCTTTTGTTCCAGTGTGGTTTTGTTACTGTGCAAATACACAGGCACATACTTTACAAATCAGTAAGAGAAAGGCACCTCTTGAATGGTGGTGCAGGAACATCATAGAATTCCATTCAGATGAGGAGGTGCCAGGTTCTGCCCAGCCCCTATGAGTGGCCTTGGGTGAGGCCTTAGCTATCTTTTCTGATCTCTCCTTAGCTCGTCCGCAAGACAGGAAAACGCTTGCCATGTGGGGCTGCATTAAGGGCTGTGTGAGAAAATGCAAGCAACCTCAACCTGCTTGACACCTGGGCTTGGTAAAGGCCGTTTTCTTATCAGTCAGGAGATAGTGAGCACCTGGGATCTACTATTTTTGCAGGTGCCTGCATTAGAGAGCCTTCACTTGTTAGGGAGACATGTCCGGACCACATCGAGAAAGGTGTGGGTTGACACAGCCAGAGTGTAACAGAAAGGAGGGGAGGGTGGCGCCTGTGACTCAAAGGAGTAGGGTGCCAGCCCCATATATTGGAGGTGGCAGGTTCAAACCAAGCACCGGCCAAAAACTGCAAAAAAAAAAAAAAGGAGGGGAGGAAAAGTTCCATAACAATCTCCAGCAGAGACCCACAGCACACCGGGTCACTGAGAACGCACGCCACTCATACTGAAGGGCCATACTGGGGCGCACAGCTCTCCGGGTCACTGCGGACACATGCCACTCACAGTGAAGGGCCATACTGGGGTGCACGGCAGCCTAAATGAGGGTTTAGTTCCTGAACAAGGTTTACAGCTACATGGGACATGTTTATCTTTGACTCAACACATTCCTAATGTCTGAATTAAAACCTGGTGCTTTTTTTTTTCTTTTCAGAGACAGAGTTTCACTTTGTCACCCTTGGTAGAGTGCTGTGGCGTCACAGCTCATGGCAACCTCCAGCTCTTGGCCTTAGGCCATTCTCTTGCCTCAGCCTCCCAAGTAGCTGGGACCACAGGTGCCTGCCACAACGCCTGGCTATTTTTTGTTGTTGTTGTTACAGTTTGGCTGGGGCTGGGTTCGAACCCCCCCCCCCCACCATCGGTATATGCGGCTGGCACCCTACTCACTGAGCCACAGGTGCCACCCAGCTGGTGCTGTTTTTATTAAAGCTTCCATTTGTTACGAGCCAGCCCCTTGTGTGACTACTCCACAGAAGGCCCACAGCCCTCTTTCCTCAGAGAAGTGCCGCACTCCTGTGAGTAGCTGGCAGTGTGGACTGAGTGGACCCCAGGCCTTCCTTCACCAACTCTCCCTGCAGAGCGGCCAGGCGTTCACCTTGCCAGTATTTGGAAAATACTGGTGAGCTTGAGTCTGTCTGGGGCTCACACAGCCCCTGAATAGGTACCTCACAAAAGGGGCCGGTACAGCCTCTCAATGCCATAGAGTATTTTTTACTTTCGAGAGGGTATGACACTAAGGGCCACAGTGGACCCAGTTTTCTGGACTTGTGTAAACCTGTGGAGTGAAATCCCCTGTGGGCTGATGTCTGTGCTGAAAAGGTGCCATTTGGTGGAAGTGAAGGCAAAATAAATTCTTAGTCAAAGGCAGGTCAGTAAGAATCAAGAAATGAGACTGAAGATATTAGCGAGTTTATGGATGACGTCTATAAAGTCTTTCCAGATTTTATGGGAAAAGATATCAATGAAAAAAAAAAAAAAGATGGCCTTTAAAATCGTGACACATCTTCATGCTTCTGTGGGGGGCCTGATGGCTTTGGGAAACGCTGTCGTGGATTCAAACGATGGTTGTGCCAGTTACTGAGTGTGTGACCCTAGCAAATCACATCTCTCAGACTCAGTTTCTGTTTTTGGTTTTAAATTAGGAAGATTTTCCTTATGAAAATGAGAAATCATATACATGAAGTTCACAGTGCCTGGTATATAACAGGGAGTCAAAAACTACAGATGACAATTTGTTCTGACAGTGCAAATATATAGACCTCACAGCAAAGTTGTTTTACAGAGTTTTTCTGTGTTGTTCGTTGAGTTGTTAATTACTATCTACTGTGGGATCACTGGCCTGGGATCACAAGGCCAAGCAATAGCGGCCAGTAAATGGCTCCCAGGCCCAGCCCTGCAATCAGATGGGAAAGGCAGGGGCACTCACCTTCAGGCAGACAAATGGAAGGCCTTCCCCTGAGGGGGCTGGCTGAGTTGCAGGGTATTAGCCCATAAGCCAACCAACTCTGTTTCTTCAACAGAAACTGAAATTTTATTAAAATAGATATCTCTGGTCCAACCCAATAATGTTCTCAAGAAATTTTATGTAGTAAGTCCTCACTTAACATCATCAATAGGTTCTTGGAAACTGCCATGTTAAGTGAGCGAGTGTATAACAAGTCCTCATCGCCTCATTCAGTGTATTTCCTTATAACATTGAGAAGAAAACAATGTTTCATTATATGTCATTTGACTTAAAGGGGCAATTCCCAAGAACCTATCAATGAAACAGGGTTCACTGGGCCATCTTCATTTCTACATTGAGAACAGTATCTACCTTTTCCTGACCTGGTCCACAGGCTCTGAGAAGCCAGGACAGCTCTTTGCCAGTGGTCTCCTGGGTGATGTCCAGTGGCACCCAGTATTTCCTGGGAGCCAGGTCCCTGATCATTCCCCAACTTGCATGTGGCTGGACTGACTTGATTCAAGTGAAAAAGATGGCAGAAGGATGGGAAGTCATTTCTGAGATTCGATTATAGAAGACTGTGGCTTCTATCAGGGTTGAGGGGGAACCAGCGGCCACGACTGAGGTAGCCCTGTGACAGGCCGTGTGGAGTGAACTGGGAAGCAGAGCTTCTGAGACCTGCCGACAACCATGCGAGTGAGCTTGCAGCAGACCCAAGTCAAGCCTCAGCATGTCTGCAACCCTGGCCTCCTGCTTGACTGTAGCCTGGTCACAGTCTACTGAGCCGGAAGAACCTGACTCAGCCACGTCCGATTTTTGGCCTACAGAAATAGTAAGTTCCTTTTTCTAGCAACTAAGTTTGGGGGTAGTTTGTTACACAGCAAAAGATGACTAAGATTCTGGGGGTGGTCTCCTCCTATTTGCTGGTACATTGCGTCTGAAAAGGTGAACTGCCAAGTGTTCCAAGTTGGGTGACTGACTTTCATGCTAAGGAAGAATGTGCTTTCCTCTCAAAGAGATTTTTAAAGCTGCATAATTCCTGATTTCATCCTCCTTTGATCATATTACCCAGCATTCAGCACCTGTCCTTTTCTTTCACAACTGGATAAACAGAGACCAGCCTGAGGCCAGCTAGAGCTCAACTGAGACCAGAGCTCTGCTGCCAGTGTGGCCTTGATGTAGCTCCACCAGAGCTCCACCAGAGCTCTGCTGCCAGCGTGGCCTTGATGTAGCTCTGTCCAGGATAGAGGCAGCCATCACTGAGCTCCAGGCCCAGCTGCCCCTCTGTGCCAAGACAGAGACAGCCATCACTGTGTCACACGGTTGTTCTTCTAGTTTTCTTCTCCTGTGACAGAATAACAGCAAACTGTATAAGATGCTGCTGATATCAAACTGAAGGGTGTGTGAGAGCTCAAAATGATTTTTTATCAGTTAATATGTGAAAGCTAGGAAAATTTACAAATACACTATGTATCTGATAGTTGAATTTTTGGTATGTCACTGAGAAACCGCCCATATTCTTTCCTTTTCTTGTTCATAAAAAAGAAATAACACAAGAAAGTATAACAAAATTTTTACTTTTGGGGGAGATACACAGGAGTGGAGGTGGTTCCCTTGGCAACCAAACCCCTGACTCCCTCTCCCGGCTGATCTGCTGAGCTGCAGTACAGTGAGGCTGTGCGGGAGAGCCGGGCATCGCTCTGTAACCGGCCTCCCAGCTGCCCACTCGTTTCTTTCCCCAACCTCATTTTGTTCTCTGCAAAATGTGCTTTTAATTTTTGAATTATTTTCACTCACGTTACATACACCCTTAATATTTTAAAATTCACTTGGACAAGTTGAGTCATTTTGAAACAGTTATAGGTTAATTTATTCACAATTGCTTAGCATTAAGTATTAATAATGTTCAATGTTAATTTTTAATGAATCATTATTCACATTTTATGATTTTAAAAGAATGTAAAAATTCAAGATTATGGAAAAAGGTAGATAATATTAAGAAAGCTATAAAACCAACTTTTTCTCTATCTGCCACCATATGGAGATTGAGGCTTTTAAAAAGTTATAATAAAATATCTAACATAAAGCTTACCATTTTAATCATTTCTCAAATATATAATTCAATTGCATTAAGAATATTCAGAATAGGATTAGTGGGCCAAAGGGTACAAACCTTTCAATAAAGCTTTTGAATACACACTGACTAAGCATTTCCAAAAGATAAAAACTGATGGTTAATACTATTTGGCAATGTTTGAATATATTTGTTTCATACCACTCTTATCATTATATATTTAATTAATTTTTGAAAATTTAATAAAAGCTGTTTTCAAATATAAGTGTTTAAAAGAATCAAAAAAAGCCAAGTCATTTTTTGGTGTTTTATTTTTACCTGGATTCCTTACCTAGAGAAGCAGTGGCCTTTCCAACCACATACACTGGCTTAGCATTCCACTTTTCTCTCAGAGACTTTTCCCACACTGTAAAACATGAAATTACACATGAGCTGCAAATACCAACTAAAATTCTATTTTCATATTGTTCTTGTTTTGCAGGCAAATTTTTAAAAATCTCTTTGGGGTAAATGTTTCACTATGTATGCTTGAAATATTAACCCATTTCCATCTCTGCACTGTGGAGAATTTTTAATATATACTGGGAACATTTTTAACGTGTATTAGAAAACAAACATAACTTGAAGAATTACGGTAGAAACTCTGTAAGTCAACCACCCAAGGCACTGTCACAAACTGGTCGACATACGGTACTCAGGCTGCTGTGCTGACATGTACACGTGGGGCACGTCTGGTCAACTGAAGGAGGTGGTTAACGTAGGACAGTGGTCAACTATGGAGGGTCTATTGTAGTTTTTAAATAACATTAACATTTAAAAATCTAGAAGAAAAAGTCACTGGTCACTAAAAAATATAACTTAAATGTCTAATAAAGAAATACTATTTTTTTTTTTTTTGAGACAGTCTTATTGTGTTGCCCTTGGTAGAGTGCCGGGCATCACAGCTCATAGCAACCTCAAACTCTTGGGCTCGAGCTATTCTCTTGCCTCAGCCTCCCAAGTAGTTGGGATTACTGGTGCCCGCCACAATGCCCGGCTATTTTTTTTTTTAGAGACGAGGTGTCACTTTTGCTCAGGCTGGTTTCAAACTCGTGAGCTCAGGCAATCCACTCTCCTTGGCCTTCCGAAGTGCTAGGATTACAGGCGTGGGCCACCTTGCCTGCACCTAATATAATTATTTCTGCTTTGACTTGCAAAGCAGTCAACAAACTGTAATGTCAGTTGAGAGGGGTCATTTATCCATTAGGTCAAAGCAGAAATAATAAATTTCAGGTTTATTAACAAACACAATTTAATACAGAATGCGATTTTATGACCAAAAAAATTCCTTAAATATGAAATAAAGAAACACAAAGAGAAAATGGATTATATAAATATATCACAAAGCCACTAGGCATTCAATACTTTTTTGCGGGGGGGAGACAGTCTTAACTCTGTTGCCCTGGACCAGAATGCACTGATGTCAGTCATCACAGCAACCTCAAACTCCTGGGCTCAAGTGATCCTCCTGCCTTACCCTTTGAAATAGCTAGAACTAAGCTTGTGTCACCCCACTCAGGTAATTTTTCTATTGTTAGTAAAGACGGGGTCTCATTTTTGCTTATGATGGTCTCAAACTCCTGGCCTCTAGTGATCCTCCCGTCTCAGCCTCCCAGAGTGCTAGGATTACGGGTGTGAGCCACCACATCCAGTCATGACTTAGTACATTTTTTTTTTTTTTGAGACAGAGCCTCAAGCTGTCCCCCTGGGTAGAGTGCAGTGGCATCACAGCTTACAGCAACCTCCAACTCCTGGGCTCAAGCAAGTCTCCTGCCTCTGCCTCCCAAGTAGCTGGGACCACAGGCGCCCGCCACAACACCCAGCTACTTTTTTTGGTTGCAGCCATCATTGTTGTTTGGCGGGCCCACGCTGGATTCAAACCCGCCACCTTAGGTGTATGTGGCTGGCGCCTTAGCCACTTGAGCCACAGGCGCCAAGCCAGACTTAGTACATTTTTAAAAGACAAACAATAATTCTTCTTTCCTAAGATCTGATTATGAACATAATTTTTCTTTAAATTCAGTAGTATTACTCTGCCCTTTACACTAATGACAGAAATTCCCTTTTAAACAGTTACCAAAGACGGAGTTTTACTTTGTTTCTCACCACACGGATCTATCTGAAAAGGAAGAGCAACTGAGTGAAGCTGGGCAGGGTCAGAAGGCTACAGCGCAGGCCCTGCCCTCGGGCAAGTCAGATAACCCGCCTTGCCTGGCCTGTTTCTGCCTCAAGATAACTGGGATGAACTATACTATATACTCCTACTGCCTGTTCAGATGGTTGTCATGACAATCACAGTAAGAACATACATGGAAAATGCTTTTTAAATTAAAAGCACCACTGGCCCAGCGTGATGGCTCACGCCTGTAATCCCAGCACTCTGGGAGGCCAAGGCAGGTGGATCACCTGAGCTCACAGGTTCAAGACCAGCCTGAGCAAGCGTGAGACCCCTGTCTCTAAAAAATAGCCAGGCGTTGTGGTGGACACCTGTAGTCTCAGCTACTTGGGAGGCTGAGACAAGAGAATCACTTAAGCCCAAGAGTTTGAGGTTGCTGTGAGCCATGACACCACAGCACTTTACAGAGGTTGACAAAGTGAGACTCTGCCTCAAAAAAAAAACCCATAAAAATTTACAGTGACCATTCTCAAGTCTTCTCTTTTTCACTATTTTCATCCTCAAAGCACATACAAAGGGAAAAATACAATGGTGAGACAGAGCACTCCAAAGCACCACTGCGAATGGTCCGTGCACCTGCTTCCTCACTTTGGAAACAACAGCACTTCTGGCTCTGAGTTTCTTAGGATCCTCATTCCTAAGACAAACACCAGACTTTTCCTTTAAAGAGGCAGTGCATGTGTATGTGACATCACCGAGAAGGTGGCATACTTAGGCTATGAGGAGAGAGACTAAAAATGTGAAAGAGAATAAAAACCACTTGCCACCACCACTTACTGGATGGCTGTTGTGCTCCAGGTCACATCCCAGATGCTTCTCTTTGGGACTCAGACTCAGAAGTTGAGTCCCAAGCACTTGGGAAGTTCCCTACCCCCGTTCTTCAGGCCCTCATCTGCCAAGTGGAAACACTAGTCAGACCTACCTCCCAGGATGAAGCATTTAGGAGAGCGTCTGGCACGGAGTGGACGCTCAGTAAGTTTTACTTAGCTAACAGTAGAAGTAACAATCCCATCACACTATTATTATTATGCCCCCTTTAAAGAGAAGGAAACTGAGGCTCAGAGGTCAAGGAACTCGCCTAGGTCAGAGTGGCTGTGTGAGCCCAGGCCCAGCTCTCCCCAGGGACCTCTCACAAACCCCCTCCCTGCTGCCTCCACACGTGAGCATAACCGTGGGGGTGGCTGGCCTCGGTTTGGAGCCCAGCTCTGCACTGGGTAGTTCTGTGGCCTCAGATAAGCACCCGCTCTTCCCAGCCTCAGCTTTCTCAGTGGCTGTGAGACCACAGCACTGTGTGCCTGGGGACTGTTATCGAGGGTTGAATGAATTAATGAATGTGAAGTATTTATCACAGAGTCCAACATACACAGGCACTCCATCAATGCTAGCAGGAAGCTGTTCAACCGCATTTATTCAGAAGGTGGTGGTTCAGCCTGAAACCCAGGGTTCTGCTAACGGGCAGTGCCATTTTCATACTGTTTTGATGGAGAAGGAAGGAGGCAGGGAGAGGGTCAAAGAGATGACTACATCCCTAAGTGCCAGCCATGGTGCTGACGGTTTTCACATGTTGGATTTCTCATCATCCCTTTCAGGAAACTGACATCATATTGTCCAAGGAAGAAGTGCCTGACTATTCTGAGGGGAGATAGGAAAGCCCAGCTGGTGAACATTTAAGATGAGAGACTCTGTCTCTGCAACATCTGTCTGGGGGTTTAGGAGGCAGCCCCGCTCCTGTGACCTCATGTCCCTAGGCAACCACTCCTGTCGGAAGTGTGGCTGTTTCTAGAATCCAGTCTCCCAGCAAGAGAAATGAGAGTAAATACAAGTCCCGTGGGACTCACAGCAGACCCACCCTCACCTTCAGCTTCATTGTCTTTCTCCAAACACAACTCCACTGCTTCCACTGCTCTGGGACTGGTAAAAATGAGTCCCCCGTAATTTTCAGGATGAGACAGCTGCACACCAAAAAGCAATAAAGGCATTTTATATGATGGCCAAGTTCAACATCTCCCAAGGAACTAGGACCCCAAATTCCAAATGCTTCACAAAAGTACCAGATAAAGTAATTCTTTCTACCCACTCATCCAACACTTATCGAGTACTTACTATGTACCTGGAGCTATTTATTCTAGGCCACTTAGGATACACGGTGAATTCATTACTCATAGCATTCGGCTCAGGGAGGTACAGTTGAGCGGAGAGACAGACAAGTGCAGCACAGCGTGGTAAGGTCACTGCAGGGGGCAGCTGGACTCAGCCTGGGACTGGGTGGAGTGCAGGCAGGAGGGAAGATCTGAGCTGCATCTACACAGACCTGGACTGTTCCGGAGACGGTATCCATCTCAAAGCCACCATGTTCAAAGACAACAGTGGTGGTAGCACCAGGTGCCGGGCTGCTGTATACATCTGACTTCACTGAAGCTGTGGGCACTGAATCTTTAATCTGCAACATCTGGGAAACTTTACTAAGCTCTTGTTCTGCAACATCTGTCACTCCTACACTGGGAGCAGAACTGAAGTTCTGGGCAGAAGCTCTGGGCTAGAGTCCCAACCCTGCCTCTCACTTGCTGGAGGCCTGGGCAGAGTTGCCTACCCCGGGTTCTGATCTCTAACTTAGGAAAAAAACACCCATCTGCTCTGCTCTGCAGAGGTTGGGGGTGGGGCAGATTAAACAAGAGGATCAATGAAAGGGTTCTAGGGCTGCTGAGAGCAATTGAGGTTTGGGGCTCTTGCCATGAGCTGCTCTCCCAGGCCCTGATCTCTGGGTCTGGGCGGCTTTCTGGAAGCTCAGTTAGGGAACCCAGCAGCAGCGTCTCCTGGAACCAGCTGAGGTTGTGCTGCGTTTGTTTTAAAGTTTGGTTAAAACAAATACAAATGAGGGAGGAGTAAAACAGCCCTTCTGACTTGGCTGAGGATTCCACAGAATGCAGACAGTAACCTGCTCAGACAAACAGTCCTTACCTTCTCAGAGAAACTGGGAAGAGACAAAAACTCAAATGATAAAACAGGAATCGAAGTGGCTTCAAGTCCATATAAACCTAATTCCTGCAAATGAAAGAATACAGTTCTACATTGGCCAGGGCGGTGTTGAAAATAACAAAAGGACTGTGATATCACATTAACAATTTATTCTGTGTCAGTCCTCTGAGTTTTCATAGGCCCCTCCCCTGCCAGCTCTAGTAAAGACACAATGTGTTTTATGGGACAAAGAGCCTCGGGCCACTTACCCTGATGTATGGATCCTGGCCACCATCGTCTTCCTTAGCATCTTTCAGTAAAAGAACCTTCATTATTGCCTGAAGTCCTTATAAGGTGCTGTGACAGCAAGGAAACAGATCTTAACTAGATCTCAAAGATTGTGCCTAAGCAATGTTGGATGGGGAGGAGCATAAAAAGAAGGTATCAAGTGCTGAGGAGACCCACCCCTCCCACGCCATGACTTAGCACTAATGTTCTTTCTGAAGACCTTGTCACTGATAAGGCCAAGGGAGAGCCTGTTAGCAGCTGATTATCAGCTGGAAAGGCAGGTGAAAGCCATGAGTGAAAGTCAAGTATCCTACACATTTATGGCCTAGAGAAGAGCTCAGGAAAAATCAATAGCTTTTTTTTTTTCTTTTTGAGATAGAGTCTCACTATGTCTTCCTCAGTAGAGTGTGGTGGCATCACAGCTCACAGCAATCTCAAACTCTTGGACTTAAGCAATTCTCTTGCCTCAGCCTCCCAAGTAGCTGGGACTACAGGTGCCCACCACAATGCCCAGCTATTTTTTTGTTGTAGTTGTCATTGTTGTTTGGCAGGCCTGGGCGGGGTTCGAACCCAAAAGCCCCAGTGTAGGTGGCCAATGCCCTGGCTGCTGAGCTACAGGTGCCGAGCCACGAATAGCTGTCTTTTAAAAAGACAATTATTTCCATTTCAAGAAAAATATACTGAGCAGTTCATAAGACTTTAGGAAATAATTACACTGACTATGCCGTTTCTCAAATGATGTTTTCTAAATGTTGTCAAGTGTCACCAGATAACCTAGCAACCTAAAAAACAATTTGCTGACATGTATCAAAAGCCCTCTATACTTCATACTTTCTTCCTATAATTTCACTTTTAAGAATAAATACTAAGGCAACACTCACAAATCTGTAAAGTTTTAACATGAAGATGTTCACCCCGGCATTTTTCACAATTACAAATAACTGGAGACAATGTAAACACTCAACAAATGGTTACAATGAATGGTAAAACTGAATGGTTAAACAGATCGTGGTATGGTTATACAAAATCATTAAAAATTTATAAATAATTATATATGAATTAATCACAAAATGTTAAGTCAAAAAAAGGTGGTTTCAGAATTAAATAAATAGGCTTGGCGCCTGTGCTCAGTGCTTAGGGTGCTGTCCACATGCACCTGGGCTGGGGGTTTGAACCGGGCCCAAGCCTGCTAAAAACAATGACAACAACAACAACAAAAAATGGTGTTGTGGTGGGCACCTGTAGTTCCAGCTACTCAGGAGGCTGAGGCAAGAGAATCATTTAAGCCCAAGAATTTGAGGTTGCTGTGAGCTGTGATGCCACAGCACTCTACTGAGGGCAACATAGTAAGACTTTGTCTCCAAAAAAAAAAAATTAAATAAATAGGGCATGCATAGTGGCTCACACCCATAAGCCCAGTACTCTAGAAGGCTGAAGTGGGAGGATTGCTTGAGCTCAGGAATTTGAGACCAGCATGACCAAGAGGGAGACTCATCTCTACTAATAATAGAAAAATTAGCTGGGCATGGTGGCAGATGCTTATAGTGCCAGCTTCTTGGGAGCCTGAGGCAGGAGGATCACTTGAGCCCAGGAGTTTGAGGTGGTTGTGAGCTGAGCTGATACCATGGCCCTCTAGCCTGGGCAACAGTGTGAGAATGTTTCCAAAAAAAGAAAGGATCACATAAATCGTACAATTTTATAGGTTATGTATATACAAAAGGATATGCAGCAAAATACTAATAATTATTTGAGTGGTAGTTAGGATTATTTTCTTACCACTTTCAGTATTACACTAATTTTTTTTAACAATGAACATTAATAAACCTCTTGTATTAAGGGATGAAAAGCACATTATAATCATCCCAGAGGCCTCAAAATAAATGCTGCTGAAGAACTGCAGAAAATCTGCTGGAGACACAAATTACCATGCCATAAACAGCACTGAACCCACCAGTGAGTTACTTAATAAATACTAGGCTGTGTTGGAGCAGAAATGTGTTAATTACATTACTTCTGAGATACTACTGAACATATTTCTGGAATATTATAATATCCATAGAACATTTTAGAGAAAATAATAATTCTAAAATTAACTTCTAATTATTGCTGCTGTCCAGATGTTGGCTTGAGAGATTGGGAATTTGGGGAAATGGGCAGTATGGTTCCTATCATTTATTTGAAACGTGTCTCATACAGAAATTAGAAGCCTACCCTTGCACAACGGTCACTTTTATGTCAGCTTGACTAGGTTACAGTCCCCAGTTTTTACAAACACTAATCTAGGTGTTGCTGGGAATGTACGTTGGAGATAGCACACAGTCTGCCGTCAACTGGCTGTAAGGCAGATTATCCTTAACTCTGGTGGGCCTGATTCAGTCACTTCAGAGCTGACGCTTCCCTGAGGAAGAGGATAATCAACCTGTGGAGCTGAGCACCAGCCTGCTCTTCTGTGGCCTGCCCTCCCGCCCACTCTACAGCTTCAAACTTGCCTTGCAAGCACCGACAGCTACTCAAGCCACTTCCTCGCAGTAAATTCCATTATATCTCTTACTGATTCTTTTTCTCTGGTAGAACTCTGATACACTTTCCAGAGTGTATGGGAGCTCCAGGAATCTTGTACGTCACTAAGTGGCAGGTAAAATGGATTTTCTGCTACAGCTACTCCTTTTGTGGCACACAAAGCAAGCAACTAGTGGGGATTAAAAAGCTGGAGTGTGATACTTTGAAAGCAGGTAATCCTGCAGCCACAGAGCCATTTGGCCCCTGCCATGGATCTAGGCTCAGATACAGAGCCCCACATTTTCAAAGGATATCTTAATAATGCTTTCAAATACCAGGAGTCACCCAATCACAAAACGGTTCCATACGGTTCTCAGGCAGTGACCCTGAATCCCAAGACTGGATTCCTCCCAGGGAAATTAGGTCTGCATTATTTATCAGGGGTGTGTGATAACTTCAGGTACTAGCAAGTATGATGGGATGATCAGGTAGAGTGACCAGAGGGTTGATACCTTGTTACCTCTGCAGGGAGACCTCTCTGGAGAGTTGACATTTGAGTTGTGATCTAAATGACAACAACAGTGAGGAGAAATGTTCAAGTGTCAGAAAGGGGCCCTACATGTCCCCAGGAGAGAAGGGGAAGTTCAATTGAGTATGACAGACAGGTGTACTTTGGGTTCATGAGACCAGGGAATACACCAAAAGGTTTAAGCCTGGAGTGACAGTGGTGGCAACTACACTTTAGAAACACCTTTCTGTGGCAAGGATGGGCAGAGACCTTGCAGGCCACAGAGTATGTGACTGGATCCAATCCATTCTGGCTTGGATCAGAGTCATGGCAAGGTTAAGTTGTGAGTGGATCAGGGATTCATACTGAGGACAGAGTCATCAGGACCTACTGATGTAATTCTGGGGGAAACTAGCTATCCACAGCTTTGTTTGAAATGGTTGGGACCAGGCTGAAAATAGGTAAAATGTCTTTCTTCTTTCAGTCCCATCTGAACTTATTTTGGTTTGTCCAGTTTAATCTTATCAGTAAATTAACAAACATTCTAGACCAGTAACTGTGCACTAGGCACTAGGTACACAGCATGATCCCTGCATCATCATATTTTACAGATTAGTAAAAACATCATACAGTAGTAAGTCTCATGAAAGACCCAAGGTGCTGTGGAGACATAACGGGAGTCTTATTTGGACTGGAAGGTGTGGCACAGATTGCCAGCTGCTCCTCAACACCCACTCTCCCCTTCTCCCTCATAGAAATGGACCTCCCATTATTGTCTGGGCAATGGTTCCCTGGGATAAAACCGGGCAGCTAGATACTGAATGGTAACTAGGTTCTGGCCAATAGGATGCAAAATGAAGTCAAGAGTACTTGGGGGCACCTCCTCTCTCTTTTGCTTTTCAAGGTGGATGGGACGGCCAGAACCTCTGAACTTGCAGAGGGCAACCTAGGTATGATGGAACTAGACAGCCTCCATGCCAGCCAGGATTTTACATTGGGAAAAGTAAAGTCCTATCTTGTTTTAGCCATCATTTTTTTTTTTTTTGAGACAGAGCCTTAAGCTGTCCCCCTGGGTAGAGTGCCATGGCATCACAGCTCATAGCAACCTCCAACTCCTGGGTTCAAGCGAGTCTCCTGCCTCAGCCTCCCGAGTAGCTGGGACCACAGGCGCCCGCCACAATGCCTGGCTATTTTTTGGTTGGCAGCTGTCGTTGTTTGGTGGGCCCGGGCTGGATTCGAACCCGCCACCTTGGGTGTACGTGGCTGGCACCTTAGCCACTTGAGCCACAGGCGCTGAGCCACCATCATTCTTTTGAATCTCTTTTATTCATTATATTTTTTTGAGATCGTGTTTCACTCTGTGGCCCTGGGTAGAGTGTCATGGCATCATCATAGCTCACAACAACCTCAAATTCTTAGACTCAAGCAATCCTTTTGCCTTAATTTTTTTATTTTTAGTAGAGATAGGATTTCACTCTTGTTTAGGCTGGTCTCAAATTTCCTGAGCTCAAGGAATCCACCTACCTGGCCTCCTAGAATGCTAGGATTATATGTAGGAGCCACTGTGCCCAGCCTTGGCTCTCTATTAGCTGAACTGTACAGGGTAGAATGCTGAGCTATGAACCAGGAAGACAGGTGGGGGCTGGAGTATGCTGGGTCTTTTTGGACCACATCAGGGAGTTCGGATCTTACCTTAGTAACCACAGGAAGCTTCTTGTTTAGAGATGTATTTCTCCTCTCCTCTTCTCATTTCTGCTTGCCCTTTTATTTTCCTTTCTCTCTATGGGGACAATGTAAGGAAGTCTGGTGTCACAGAACAAGCCCAGGACTAAGAGGCAAGGTACCTGGGCTCTGGTCCCAGCTTTATTACTTACCCATTGTTTTTTCCTATCTTAAATGGGCATAACCTGTGCCCTACCAAGCCACAGGCTTGCTGAGTGACTCAAAGAAGGTAATAATGACAGCAAAGACATTTACTGACACTTACAACCTGCCAGGCACTGCTCTCAGAGTCCTGCACATGTCAAGTGGACGGGTCTGTGAGGAAGCCAAGGCATGTAGTGGAAGACACTCATTCAAAGCCTCAGGACTGCACAGCGACAGAGCTGGACTCACACCCAGGATTCTGGGCCCACACTCAGTGCTCTTGGCAGGGCACAGCACCTCTCGCCTCTAATCCCAGCACGTGGAAAGACCAAGGCTTCAGATGACTTGAGCCCACGAGTTCAAGACTAGCCTTAAAACACAGCAAGACTTTGTCTCTACAAAAAAGCAAAACAAAACGAAAACAAACGAAGCCCGTGCCCTTAGCCCCTAAGCTACGTGCTGCCCCTCACATACTTTGCACATGAAAATGTCTGGAAAAAAGGTGGGAAAATATAAAGTATCACTATAGCACAAAGTGCTTAGTTTATACTATAAACACAGGAAAGCAAAATCAATCTACCTACTTGCAAACACAAAGTATTTCCTCTGGGGTCTAACCTGTGGTTCTCTTAGTAATAAAACTGATGCTAGCATGAAGCTTAGGCTTCCGGATAATAACTGTTAGGAGGTTTCCTGAGGTGTGATGCAGGACTCAACAAATAAAAATCAAATTACTACCCTATCCCTTTCCCACCATTGCTGATCATTCTCTGCCGCACTAGAGACCCATTTTACAGGTTGACTGAGAAAGCAACCAGTGGAAACCGTGACAGTCAGGATAACATTACCAGCTAGGACTTGTGGAAGAGACTTGGTAGAGTAGAAAGTGCCTGCACAAGAGGGCCCGGACTCCGTTCTGCTCCACGCTGCTCTTCCCTTAGTCTCAATCCTGTGCTCTGAAATGGGCTGGGGTTTTTCGGAAGGACTTTCTTTCCCATAGCAGATGCTAAGTAAATATTAACACTGAACACATCTGTTCAGTGTTATCTGAACAATAACACTGGAAGATTCACCCAGAATCTTTGAAATGGGGGAAATGAATACTTTGTAGCAAGGCCACTTCATTGGTAAGAACAAATGAGGCCTCACACCCCGCTTTCTGTGTCCTGCTGCTCAGTACCTGCAGTAATACCCTCCCCTTTTATTGAGCGCTTTACTGGGTATATTAGTGTTCTCCAGAGAAACAAAACCACTGGGATGTAACTCTATCCAGAAAGGGATTAACATGAAGTATCGGCCCATGTCATTATGGAGGCCACCCCAGAGCCTCCACATGAAGGCCTGAGAACCAGAAGCACCCAGGGTAGAAGATATCCCAGTTAAAGCAGATAGGCAGAGACAGGGTAAATTTCTCCTTTTGTTCTAGGCAGGCCCTCAACAGATTGGATAATGCCTATCCACTTAGGGAAACACACTTTACTCCACATACAGATTCAAATGCTAATTTCTTCTGATAACTCCTTTACAGACATTCCAAGAAACAATGTCTAATCCGGTATCTGTGCTTTTCACATTTGCTACTCTAATTCACACTTAACATTGGGAACTAGTCTGAGGGCACAAAGTAACGCTTTTTTTATACCCCCTTCTCTAAGTAAAGCCATACATATTCATTGTGGAAAATTTTTAAACTATAAGAAGAGGTGTCCAACCTTTTGGCTTCTCTGTGCCATACTAAAACAAGAGTTATCCTGGGCCACACATTAAATACACAAACAATAATAAAAGCTGATGAGTCAAAAAGAAGTCTGTGCAGTATTTTTGTAATATCCACCACTGCAGATAAGCAAAAAAGTCCTCACATAATCCATATGTGAACTGCAGGCTGAGGTTGAACATCGCTGACAGTATATTCCTCAAAAAATTAAGTAGAATTAGCATATAACCTATTAATTCCACTTCTAGGTACATACCTTTGAAGAAATGAAAGCAGAGACTCATGTCCATAGCATCATTATTTGATAGCTAAAATGTGGAAGCAACTAGTGTCCAGTGACAGGTAAACAAAGCATGGTATATACACACAACCGAATATTACTCAGCCTTAACAAAGGAGAAATCCTGACACACACTACAACACAGACTTTGAACATACTCTGCTAAATGAAATCAGTCACAAAAGAAAACTACTATGTGATTCTGCTTTTATATGGTTTATAGAATAGCCAGATAAAGAGAGATACAAAGTAGAAAGGTGATTTTCAGGGCCTGGGCAAAGGGAGAAATGAGGGAGATTCAGTTTTATAAGATGAAAAGAGTTCTTCTAAAGATGGCTGCTGCTGCTGGTTGCACAACAATGTGAATGTACTTAATGCCACTGAACCATACACTTATAAATAGTTAAGATGGTAAAATTCATATTATGTGTATCTTGCACCTTAAAAAAAAAAATATATATATATATATATATATAGAAACAAGGAGATAATTGCCCATGAAGTCTTAGGGCAACTCAACTGGTATATTCATATGGTGTTTTGAGTTTTTCTTAGCTTTTTATTTATTTTTTTGCCGTCTTTGGCTGGAGCCGGGTTTGAACCCACTACCGGTATATGGGGCTGAGGCCCTACTCCTTTGAGCCACAGGCGCCACTCTAGCTTTTTTTTTTCTTTTTGAGACTATGTCACCCTGGTAGAGTGCTGTGGCGTCACAGCTCACAGCAACGTCACTCTTGTGCTTAAGGGATTCTCTTGCCTCAGCTTCCCAAGTAGCTTCCCAAACTACAGGCGCCCACCACAATGCCCCATTTTTTGGTCGTAGTTGTCATTGTTGTTTTGCAGGCCCGGGCTGGATTCAAACCCACCAGCTCCAATGTGGCTGGCACCCTAGCTGCTGAGTTACAGGTGTCGAGTCATTTTATTTTTTCATGGTCTCTCATCATCAGAGAATTATTTTAGCTTTTGATAGGACTTTTTGACAGCTTCTCTTTTTCTATTTCAGAAACATGTTTTTGCAGTTTAGGGGCCCAATGGGGCCATTTTAAGCCCCCCATCAAATGTGGAACTCTGATGTGTAAGTATATTGTTATTCGACATATGGCCTAGTAGACAAGGGACTCTCAGGAAAGATGGAACTCCCAGAACACCTTTATGGGGCCCTGGACTAATACGGACCTTTACAGTCTCCAGACTCTATTCCTACGGATGAAGGATTACTTATTTGTAAGATGTTAACAGGCTTCTGTATAAACCCCTTCAGCAATGAGCACATCACTACTAGGGGCTGCTCATTCCAGTTTCAGATTCAAACATGTCTGATCCCCTCCCTTCATTGCACAGAGGGAAAAAAAAAAAACGGAGAATCATAGATCTCATTCTCAGAAATTCATGTCTTTTCTAACTAATGATTTTCCTTCTAAATAAAAATCTTTCCAATGGGATGCAAATTGGTAGCCTATGGTGGAATAAATCTGACCAGCAGATGTATTTTACTTGGCACAGATTTTGAAAATCAAGATATTTCTTGTAAAATCCCAGAACTCCAGCTTCTCCTGAAATGGAAAAATCTGACGACACTGGGGCAGTGCTTCTACTTGGCCACAGTCTGTGGCAGCTGAGCCATATATATGCTCTCATTCGTCACAGGACTCACCTGGTTTATTTTCTCAAACAGGATCAGGTCTTTAATTTGGTTGCCCCATTGGCCCTGTAACATTTATGGTTGCAATGCCTGCTTTAAGAAGCTTTTAGGTCAGGTAAGGAAAGCTCAGGCCTGCAGTTCCAGTCACTCACGAGATTGGAGTGGGAGAGTCCCCTGAGCCCAGCAGTTCGAGACTGCGGTGAGGTAGGACCAGTCACTGCGCTCGGGCCTGAGAAACAGTGCGAGGCCCACCTTCAAAAACACCACCAAGAAAAACAAATTTTAGGTCAGAGGGTTAACTAGGGCTGGGATTAGGATCAGATTCCTTCCATCACTGACTAGCCTGAGCCCCCAGCTGTCTGTAGAAAACACCGCAGGGTCGGTCGGGTCTGATGCTGGCGTGGAGTTATCTGCAAATGTCCGATGACCTTCCTTCCACCAAGGGCAGAGCAGTGGCCTCGGGATCCGGTCCCACTTTGTCACATATCACCACTACAGACAACACACAGGCACCTGCACGCCTGCGAGCCTCAGTGTCTTCCCTGGTACCTGGACAGGGACACCTACCTCGCCGGGCTGGTGAGGACCGAAAAGACTGGGATGGGACGGTGCCCAGCACAGCGCCTGGCACACGGCCGGCGCCCAGTCGGGGGGTGATATCTCGCAGGCCCAGCGCAGAGGCTGCTGAGGCTGCAGGAGCAATGACGACTAGGTGGACGCCCCCTCCCCGCGCCCAGCCGCCGGGTACCCGGAACCTCGGCCTTTGGGGGTCCGGCCAGTTGCTCACAGCTGGGCGCTCACGCATGCGCACTGTCGTTGAAACGTTGCGCGACTAAGCCATATGGGTCGAACCACTGTGTGAGGGGAGGAGAAGCTTTAGAAACTCTGAAGCAAACGGAAGGAGGAAGAAAAGACCAAGATACAACCCTAATCTGAATATAAATACGTGACATCTTAGCTGCGGATTCCAGCAGAGCCTCTGAGATTGTCGTCGACTCGGCGCCCAGCTTTCCGTAGTCCCCCTCCCCTCAGCTAGTGTGGGTTGGTCCGGAAGGGCCGGCGGCGGAAGTGCGCAGGCGCAGGGCGGGCGGCAACATGGCGTCCCGGCACAAGCGGCGTGCGGTGGGCACGGCGGTTCCGCGGCCACCGGGTGCCCGTGCCCAGGGCGACGAGGTTGAGGAGGAGCGTGAAACTGAGGATGAGAGCGAAGATGAAGAAGACAGTGACGAGGAAGAAGATGAGGATGACGAAATCACTGACGAGGTGAGAAGCACCTGCGACCCCAGTATGGTTTATACCCGGGGAAGAAAACTTCCTGGCAACTAAAAGCTGTGTGAATATAGCGTGAGCTCCATGGAGTGGCGACTCGTCCGCCCCTGAGCGCCTGTGAGTAGAAACTGGAGGTGACAAATTCTTACTCGCGTTCTGTTTCAGTTTTTTACACTGCAGCCCCAGTAATCGCTATCTGGAGTACTACCCCGGCCTGGCCATGCCCGGCCCGCGACCCATGACGCAGTTCTGTGCCCCACGGGCTGTCTTTAGTTCTCAGGCTAAAGCCCAAATCCTTAATAGCCAGACAAGGGGCTGCGGAGTTGATCCTCTCCCCACCCGAGCCATCTCTCCGCCTTATTCACGTTGCATGTTTCACTCACAATGGCCCTTTCAGTTTCTCAAAAGCTTCCTGCCTTGTTCTGCCTTAAAAACTTTTCAAATGTTCTTCATCCTGCAAAATTTTCCCCTCCTGTTCAGA